AAAGTCACCAATGGCTGGTCACGGTGGCTTACACCCATAATCCTAGCACTTCAGGAGGCCAAAGTGGGTGGATTGTTTCAGTGCAGGGGTTCAAGCCCAGCCTGGGCAACATGGTGAAACCCCATCTCTACTAAAAATACAAAAATTAGTCAGGTGTGGTGGCGTGCACCTGTTGTCCCAGTGAACTGAAGCCCTAATGGCCAACACACTCAACTCCTGTTGCTGATTCTGAAACTGTTCAAATACTTCACAAACAAACAAACAAAAACAAACAAACAGACAAAAAACCTTACATGTGGACTTTATAGAGCTAAGAAAACAAATTTAGAATGGAGATTTTGTCCAAAACCCTATTAGGGACTCATCTGAGACTAGAATCTAATCACCTCAATCCCAGCCTGTTACCCCTACCCCAAGTCCCGTTGCCCCTTAGTAATGTTCCTGGATCCCTGGTAGAAGACAGATCAGCAAGTCAAGGTGTAAAGAACAGTTTCCCACTCGGGAAAAAAACAAAAGCCAGGAGTGTGTGTGTGCGCGTGTGTATACACATGCCTGTGCGGGGGCAGGAACTGACATGCCCACAAGGGACTGCTGACCTTGTTACAAGAACAAGAGTCCAACAGCACACAGTCCAACCCTCAACTTACCTTGTGCTTCATTTCCCTTACCACAGATTTGAACACTTTGGAAGATTCAACACTCAGACTCTTTGAGATGCTCTGACTTAACCATCACTGTCACTAAGACATTTGTGGAAGACAGGGAGAAAAAAAAAAGCCCCATCAACAAAGCATCCCAATAGTGCTTCAGTATCACATGCCCCCTGTTGGGATTTTTACCCTCAAACTGACCTCAATGCAAGATGAGAACGTGCTTTATGTTTAAGTTTATACTGGACTTGGGAATGGATTATGGAGACAATGGACCCTGGGTAATGCTGTTATTCAGATTAAGCCTGAGAAATACAAAACCTTAGACATAATACACTAAAAATGACTAAAAACATATTGAATTTGTGCGTTTGTAAAGTTGGGAGAGTATATAGCTTGAAATCTGGATCACAAAGGTTGATTTTGTCCATTTCCTGACATGACCAGTCAAAGAGCATACTTTGCATCCTGAATACACACCTGCTTTCTGCCATCAGTTTAAGATGGGTTTAGGAAATTCAGGTCTCTAAATGTGATCAACAGATTGGGAATGTATCTGGTATTCTCCAGTAAAGAAATCTTACCTCCTGGATCATGTTGAAATGCTAGAACGGAGCCATTTCCAGGAAGTGAGGAAAATGTTGTTGCATCTACATTGGGTGACAGGAGAAAGGGAAAGAGAAGTTAGTTTTGCTTGCCTATAGTATCTTAAACTTAGTTCAGACATTGATCATGATTGTAGTAGTAAATACATGAAGCATATTTAGCTCACATTCTGTGCTAAGATACTGATGTTCAATATGCTGCCTATAAACTGGTTAATCTTCACAACCTTATGAGGTGCTATCATTTCCATTTTGCAGAGACTAGACTGAGACGTTACCCAAGGTCACATAGCTAGAAAGCTGCAGAGCCTGTATGTGGCTCCAGACTCCACTTTTAACTACAATACCTTGTAAGACTGCATGAGTGCCTGGCTTCCTTCATTCTCAACCTCAGTCACCTCACCTGTAAAATGGAGATCCTATCACCAATTTCAGGACTCCTGAGGGATTCACAGTGGAACATTTGTGAGCAGCTGTGTCTTTATATTAGTGAGTTCTCAACTGGCATTCACTCTCTCCCATGAGGAAAGGTTTATTTCTGAGAAAAAACAGAATCATAGAAATATGATAACAGAGGTGGATGGGACCTGAGAAATCACCCATGGCAACCACTCTTTCTCTCTACACTTGGAAGGGTCAAATCCCTTCTCCAGCTTCTTTGGTCACTTAGAGTAGTGAGTATACCACCTACAATGCAGTCCAGTTCATCTCACTACAAAGAGGTAAATTCCTTACTAGTAAGGAGAAAACTTCTGACACCTCTTCAAATACTTAGAGCAGCTACCAAGTAATCCCTTCCAACTCCCAAGACTCCCAACTCCCCCGGTAACCCTCCTTGGGTTCCAGCTTGACAAAGCTGCCTTCCAAGTATGGTACTTGGAACAGTTGTATCAGGTAGGATATGACTATACCAAAATAAAGGGGTACTTACCCCTCCCTTGACCTGCTGCTTCTACTCCTATTAAGGCAACCCCAGGTTATATTCCCCAAGTAATTCTGAAACACCCATGCCTACAATACCAGATCCCAGCTCCTAATCTCAAATTACCATCCATCCTCCAAAGCTGCCTCTTGATACTACAGTGGCTAAAAAGGGCCTTTTCTAAAATAAACCGAGACAATTTCTCTCAGCTGGAACAGGAGAACAAGGCTAGGAAACCCTGCTTTTGTGGCCTTCAAGCCCACTAAATGACTAAAAGTCTGACATCAGTTTGAACTGAAGCCCTAATGGCCAACACACTCAACTCCTGTTGCTGATTCTGAAACTGTTCAAATACTTCCAGCTCTTTCCCCTATAGATGTAAGAAAATTGTCCTTCACAACTCTCGTGTTTGGGCATGGTTGTGAGATCACTTCCAGCCAGTGACTGTCATTTCTGTCCAGAGCATCTAACTGCCAGTGCAAAGACCCCCCAGCGTGCTTCCCCTCAGGCCAGGTAACATAACCGTCAGGCTGGTGCCCAGGGGACTGCAATGAGCAGAGCCCACCCACTGCACGCATGGACTGTGGCCCGAGTGAGAAGGCTGGGTTGCTCTTGAAACCACATCATAACTTAGCATATTCTGACACAACTCCATTATTAAACTCCAGAAAAGTGGTCACTTGCAGTGGCTCATGCCTGTAAACTCAGCACTTTACGAGGCTGAAGCAGGAGGATCATTTGAGGCCAGGAGTTTGAGACCACCCTGGGTAACATAGGGAGACCTCATCTCTGCAATTTTTTAAATTATTAGCCGGCCATGGTGGTGTGGGCCTGTAGTCTCAGCTACTTGGGAGGCTGAGGTGGAAGGATCACTTGAGCCCAGGAGTTTGAGACTGCAGTGAGCTGTGATTATGCCACTGTACTCCAGCCTGAGTGACAGAATGAGACCCTGTCTCTAAAATAAATATATGAACTCCAGAAAGAAGTGGGAGTCTCCCCTAGATCCCTCCAGAGCTCCCAGTATCTCTTAAGAGCTTACACTTACCCAACACTTTTTATTCCCTCTTTTTTCTGATTGGGCTTAACAACTTTATTTGAAATGAAAATATTTAGGATTACAAAGGCTCAACCATTATCTGATGAACCAGCAAGAAGACCTCATCCGACTCACAAGTTCCTAGACAACCATGTTTCTAGAAGCTACAGTAAGGACAGGGGCTATTCTCGTCTTCACAAGCCACTGCTGCCTAATGTGTAAGTTTGGGAACTCAGATGGGGAGGGTGATCAAAGGGAGGGAGAAAGATACGTTCCAGATCAACTAAGCTTTTGAGCAGCCCTGCCATCAAGTTCATGGTTTTCCCTGGGAACAGCTTTCCGCTGAGTGAAACTGGTTCGTTCCAGCCTGAGGCCTGGGAATGAGAAACTCCCCGCAAAAGCTGAAGCATAGAAGTGCAGTCATTGCTCCCATAGGACGCATGGCCAGAAACAAATAGTGGTGACTTATTTAGAAAGTTACTAAGTTGCTACTTTTGTGTTTTTTGCTCTCCACAGCATAGGAAAGTGACTCCCTACCGAGCGCCCAGCAGATACAGAACACCCAGGTCACAATGGCAGGGCTTGCCAGGCTTTTCAATGGTCGCGTCGGTGCAGGAACTCCCACCTCTCCCCAAAACTCAAGGGGGGCCCAGGATATGCATTTACTTATCTGGAGCAGAATCAGCTTCATGGGCTCCACCCTTCTTAACCTACCAACTTCAGAACATGAGTACTGAGGGGAAAAGTTTAACGTAATCCTCACAGGATTCTAAAACCCAGTATTTTGGCAGAGTGGCAGTACAGCAGTCAAAAGACAGGGAGAAACCTACCCAATTTCCTGTATGGCATTTGGGAGGGAATATCTGCCAGTCGTTACCCCAGTGGAGCTCCACTGATGCAAATAGAGAAACAAAGCCTCTAGAACTGAGAAAAATACCTCTAGAGCATTCTTTAAGACCCTTCTCACTCAAAGCCCTCCCTCACCAGGATTCCATGAAGACTAAAGTCACAAGCAAGTATTCAGTTGAGTTGTATTTCCTAAAGTGCCTCATAGGAAGATACTAGAAGAAGAGGTAACATTCATTCAACAGCTATATGCTATGTGCCAAGTCCCTTGCTGGTTCCTGAGGATACACCAGGGAAAAGTCAGATGGCAAGGAACCTGTCCTCATGACACTTGCATTCCACTGAGAGAGACAAGAAAAGTCACCAACGGCTGGTCACGGTGGCTTACACCCATAATCCTAGCACTTCAGGAGGCCAAAGTGGGTGGATTGTTTCAGTGCAGGGGTTCAAGACCAGCCTGGGCAACATGGTGAAACCCCATCTCTACTAAAAATACAAAAATTAGTCAGGTGTGGTGGCGTGCACCTGTTGTCCCAGCTACTTGGGAGGCTGAAGTGGGAAGATCACTTGAGCCCAGGATGTCAAGGCTGCAGTGAACCATGATCACACCACTGCGCTCCAACCTGGGTGACAGAGGGAGACCCTTTCTTAAAAAGAGTCGCTGACAGCAGTAAGTGCTCTGAAAGAATGAAAGAGGATGATGTGGCAGTGACTGTTGGTGGCATCTGAGCAGAGCCCTGAAGGATGAAAAAGACTGGACAAGAGAAGAGCTACTAACAAGTTAGGTGATCTGGGAAGCTAGATGTAGTGAGGGTCACAAGTAAGTTTTGATGAAGGGAAGACAAGGACAAACTTCAGTCTGAATTCTCCCAGGCCTGCCACAATGCAAGACAGCACTGAAAACAATTTGAGGTATCAGCACTTGGTGATATGGTTTGGATCTGTGTCCCTGCCCAGATGTCATGTTGACATGTAAATCCCCAGTGTTGCAGGTGGGGCCTGGTGGGAGGTGATCAGATCATGGGGGCAGGTTTCTCATGAATGGTTTAGCACCATCCCCTTAGTGCCATCCTTGAGATAGTGAGTGAATTCGCTTGAGATCTGGTCGTTTAAGTGTACGGCACCTCTCCTCAATCCCCAATTCTCTCTGGCTCCTGCCGTTATTATCTGATGTGCCTGCCCCCGCTTCACCTTCTGCCACGAGTAAAAGCTTCCCAAGGCCTCTCTAGAAGCTGAGCAGATAGATGCCAACACCATACTTCCTATAAAGCCTGCAGAACTGCAAGCCAGCCAATTAAACCTCTTATCAATTACTGAGTCTCAGTGATTTTTTGTGTTTGTATTTTTTGAGACAGGGCCTCACTCTGTCACCTAGGCTAGAGTGCAGTGATGCAGTGTTGGCTCATTGCAGCCTCAACCTCCTGGCCTCAAGCAATTCTCCCACCTCAGCCTCCCTAGTAGCTGGGACTACAGGCATGTGCCACCACACCTGGCTAATTTTTATATTATTCGTGGAAACAGGGTTTTACCATGTTGCCCGGGCTGGTTTCAAACTCCTGGGCTCAAGTGATCCTCCTGCCTTGGTCTCCTAAAGTGCTGGGATTACAGGTGTGAGCCACTATGCCCAGAAAGGTATTTCTTGTGTTGCTTTATAGCAACACAAGAACAGCCTTATGCACTTAGGTAACCCTTCCACATTCATGCTTAACAGCATGCCAGTTCCTTGTGTCCAGGCCTTCCCACTGGCCATTGCCCGTACCTGAGGTTGAGATGAGAAGGCCATTAATGGTCGTGATCTTCAGTCCCCTCCCCAGCAGGGAGATGAAGCACCGTGTATTTATGCCCCATGTCCTGATCTTCCTGGATCTCTGGTGCTGGGACAAGGGTATGGCCTCCAACAGTGCCTGCTGAGGGATTATCTGTGACCCAGTGGGGAGGTTCGAAAGCCAGAGAGCAGCCTGGTGCTCAGCACTCTCACTCTTCAAACCCAAGAGTTTGGCCTAGCTGCTGCCAGCAGGTGGAGGGTTCTGGGCGGTTTGGTGCTCAATACTGCCTTCCTGAGCACTTTCCCAATCCAGGGGCTCCTCTTGGAGAGATCTGATCTCCCAGAGGGCAGGTGAGGAGTCCAGGCTTTCTCTTTTGGTCACCCCCTCCCACGTCTGAGCCACTTTTCCATCCCTCTCTTCAAGGGCAACTCTGGACCCCAGCACTCTCTCCTGATTATGTGTAAAGAGCAGAGAGCAGAATGGAGGGCCATTCTGAAGGGGCTGGCAGCAGATGATTCACCAAGCCATCCTGCATGGGTTTAGCCTTCGGTCTGGGGAAAGCAGTAGTGAGCAGAGTTTTTGTTAGACCTTATACTCCATCCCATGTCTTGCTTAACTGCAGCCTTGGGGCTATGAAGGTTTCATCCATTAACAAAGGATCTTCTTTTCCAGTGGGTAGAAGGAAGAGAGGGATCAGATGCTGTGGGCCTCCCCTCTATCCTCTGAGGCTTCCTCATTCCCCATTTGAGAGGGCCCCCCAGCCTCTGCCCTTCTGTTTCCCACATGGGTGACACTTGGATCTGAGATGGTTCCTAATGGAAACTCTGGAGCCAGAACAGAGAGAAGCTGCTCATACCAAAGCTCATGGGGGATTCTCTCTTGGCCTCAGCAAAGGCACAGTACTGGCCTCGGAATGCAGCGCTGGTGGGTCTTGAGGTCAATCTCATGGAAAGCAGCACCACGTTGACAGCCAGTGGCCCTGAAGGAAACATCTGACTTCCTCAGTGTCCACATGCATGTGAGACCTTCCTCTCCACAGTCGGGGAAACCCCATGGAAGAGCTTGTCCTGGCTCTCAGCACAGTCCTCATGGCCATCAAACCCTTGGATGTAAATGACAATGTTTCTCGCCCATCCCAGATGACCCAGTTGTACCAGATGTTTGGCAGGTGGCTGAATCGATTCCGTGGCAGCTCCCCTAATGGATCCTTCAAAACCACATGGCACCTTCTGACTGGAACATACACTACCCTGAGGTTTTGTCTCATCTCAGTGGGTAAAGGATGGAAGAGACAGGAGAAAGATGAAGGAACCAGGTTAGTACAAGACTCAGTTGAGTCATAGAAGGGCACAATAAATGCCACCTATTTAACCCCAAGTTAGCATAAGACTCGCCTTAAGTTATACTTATGGAACAGAGCTGCTGGATTCTCAGAAGGTGGTCAGCTCGTTTCACCAGCCCTACAGGCTTCTCTTCTACTTCCCCATAATTCCTCCCTTCTCGGGTTGCCCTCAGTACCCTGCAAATACTTGTATCCTGAAAGTTGTCATGCATGGCATTAGTCATGCTGTATTTGGCTGTCATTGGTTTGTCTCTAACCCTCCACTTCTTGATGGCAGGGACTGGCTTTTGTCTCCCACTTGCCAACAAGCACCTTCAAGTGCCTGCTGGATGGAGAGTGATCTTACAGCATCTCCAGCCTCTGCTCCAGAACACAGGGGCAGAGATCTCAGGGGCCAAGATCTCATTTCCTTCACTGACCCAGACCTGGGAAGGTGATAAGAGGAGCAAGCTAATCCAACCCATGGCTTATCAGCAAGCAGGAAAATAAATGACACTTGGAACACATGGCAAGGTCCCCAACAGGCTCTTAAGGGGCCTTCTGCCATCCTGATGCAGAGCTTTCAGAGGGTGGTGTGTGGGTCAATAGAGACCCCCTCATCCATCTATCATTTGCCATCCTTCTTAACCCTCCCCCATCTGAGTTATCTGAAGCCTCTCACCTTGGCTTTCAGTGCTACTAATCCTGGCATTGGCAGCTTGGAGAGAACAGGCAAGGCCCACATCTAGGCTCTGTATGATCTCATCTCTGCCCTCCAGTGAGTACAGATCTCAACACTCCACGAAGGAATCCCCAGACATCAGATACAGTGCTGAATCAGAACACCATGAAGAAAGCAGCGCACAGCTTTAACTTCCTAAAGAGACTGAAAGTTTTATTCAATTCCCCTGCAGAAGACATAACTGCCAAGTTTAACCAGAGGGAGAAGGAAAATAATGTAAGAGAGAACATCTACCTCTGGTACACAAAATGTTTTATTTGCAAACAAGAGGTCTCTATGGACCCTCTCCCCACCTTACCCTCCAGAGAAAACCATGATGGGATTAGAACAGCAAGAACTTGCTAAGAGCCACATTGCCCTGAGGGTACTTCCAGACACTAAGCCCTGGGATGGCAGGAAAATGAGGACACAAATCTGGGACTCTTGCCCTGAGGAGAGCCCTGGAGGGCTGGTGTGCTTCTAGTTTGGTACTCACCAAACTACAAGCAAAAACAAGCCCTCTTCAAAGGAAAGCATGACAGTTTAGGCCTAGAGCTGGGATCTGCAAACTACAGCTCATGAAACAAATCCAGCTGCTGCCTGTTTTTCGTAACTACAGTTTTATTTAAATATGGTCATGCCGTGTATATAAATGATGGAAGTTACTCTAATCTGCCCTGCTCAACACAGTAGCCACTAGACACGTGGCTATTGAGAACATGAAATGTGGCTAGTGCAACTGAGAAACTGAATTTCTAACTTCTGTTCTCATTTAAATAGCTAGTAGACAGTGTGAGGACTAACAATAATGATGCCATTTTACAACCTTGATGACTGTGTTCTCAGAAACCACCAAGTTGCCTCCTCTCTCTCGCTGTCTTCCTTTATATCTTCCAAACAGACAGTGCTGTATAGATTAAGATCAAGAGTAAAGCATTTTTAGCAAAAAACAACAAAAAACAATTTATATCCAAGGACTTACTAGAATTTTAAGATAAAGAAGATAGTTACATGAGAAATGTTTAAAGAAATAAAGAATATAATCAAAATAAAAAACACTACTAGGAATAGGCAGATTAGAAAATAAATGAACTTCTAGAAATGCAAAATTGAAATAAAGCTCAATGGATACTGATGCAGCAATTTACCTGAAATACATCAAAAATAAGATGAATATATAGATATGAAGTAAGTAAAATATGAATGGTAGAATGTAGGTAGTAGATATTGGCTGTTCGTTGTAAAGGTCTTTCAACTTGGCCATACGTTTGAAATGTTGTGGTAAAATGTCAGAGAAAAGAAAAACTCATGAACCAACAAACTCACCCATAATTTAGTACAAAGACAAGGAGATAAAAACATGAAAGAAGAGATTTGAAGGCTCAAAGAAGAAAGTCTTAGATATCTTACTGGAGACACAGAAAGAAAAAGCAGAAAAATGGAAGAAAGAGCAACATCTGATGGCTACGAGTTTTCTAGAACTGACAAACAACATTAATCCACAGATCTAGGTTGTACAATGTAGTATTAAAGATGGCCATAAAAACTTCCCTATACCACCCCTTGCGGGGTAGTATCTAATCCTTCTCCCCTTGTATCTGGAATGGCCTCAGCAACTTGCTTAATAAATAGGACCTAAAAGTCATGCTGTAAGACTCCCGAGGCTAAGTCAGAAGCAGCCTTAGTTTCCATCTTTGTTTCTTGTTCTGGGGAAAGCCAGAGGCCTTGTAAGAAATCTGACTAGATTGTCGGCCGGGCGCGGTGGCTCAAGCCTGTAATCCCAGCACTTTGGGAGGCGAGGTGGGCAGATCAGGAGGACAGGAAATCGAGACCACCCTGGCTAACACGGTGAAACCCCGTCTCTACTAAAAATACAAAAAATAAACTAGCCGGGGCGAGGTGGCGGGCGCCTGTAGTCCCAGCTACTCGGGAGGCTGAGGCAGGAGAATGGCGTGAACCCGGGAGGCGGAGCTTGCAGTGAGCCGAGTTCCGGCCACTGCACTCCAGCCTGGGCGACAGAGAGAGACTCCGTCTCAAAAAAAAAGAATCTGACTAGATAAATCTCAAGACTGTGTAAAAGGAAGAGGGACACATCTGAGTCCAGTCTCCCAGCTGTCCCCACTGATGTTCATGTTGTAAACGCATGTGAGCAAAGCTATCTTGGACCTTCCAGACCCGCCCAGATTTCAGCTAAATACCACCAAGATACTGCAGCCAATCTCGTGTGGGGTGGAAGAATTGCCCAGCTGATACTTGCTTAAATTTCTGATTCACAAAAGAGGTAATAAAATGGTTATTTCTTTAAGCCACTAAGTTTTGGGGCAGTTTGCTATCCAACAATAAATACCCAGAAATTAGTATGCTCAAGCAAAATTTAAAATAAAAAAGGAATTGACACAGACATAAGGAAATTTCAAAACTTTAAAAAGATCTTAAAATAAAGACAGAGACAGGATTGATCACCTTGAAGAAATGTCACTTAGGTTGCGTAGCCACAACAGAAACAATAGACAGTGGAATAACTTCTGGCAGATGTTGAGAGAAAAAGTTTTCAACTTAGAATCATGTACCCAATATAACTATAATGAGACTGGGCATGGTGGTTCACACCTGTAATCCCAGCACTTTAGGAGGCCAAGGCAGTTGGATCAGCTGAAGTCAGGAGTTCAAGATCAGCCTGGCCAACATGGTGATACACCGTCTCTACTGAAAATACAAAAAGTAGCTGGCGTGATGGCAGGTACCTGTAATTCTAGTTACTCGGGAAGTTGAGGCAGGAGAATTGCTTGAACCCAGAAGGTGGAAGTTGCAGTGAGCCAAAATTGTGCCACTGCACTCCAGCCTGGGTGACAGAGCAAGACTGTCTCAAAACAAACAAACAAACAAACAAAAACTATAATGAAAGAGGGTGAAAGACACTAGATAAATAAAATCAGAGTCTACCTTCAAGAAACTGTAATGAAACTTCTAAAGTTCATTTAGAGAAGGATGGTTTGAAATACAGAGAAGGATGCGGACAAATAAAATACTAAGCTTTTCTTACAGATAAGAAAAAAAGCAGTACCCACCAGTGTAGTTCTGGAGTGTCAAAGTCTCCAGAGAGGATTCACCCTCTTCCCAGGGGACAGATGGGAAGAACAGCAGGAGCCCCCACAGCATGGGTCCTTTTCCCAGGGAGGTTCTCTGGAAAGCTAGGAAGAGAACCTGGCAGATCCCAGGTGAAGTCTTTCCATACCTGTTCCAGGGAATGGGTGGATTTCCAGATCTTAGCTTCCTTTAGAGCAGCCCCTTTGGAGGGTGAGTGGCCATGTCAGTATGCTCTTCAAGGGACTCCCCAGAGGAGGTCACTGCCCAGCCAGTTTACAGTTCCACGACCTATGCAGCAGCCACATGCGGTAGCACATGTCTTTGGCCCTGAAGGAGCTTCACATCCAGGGTAGGGTCCCAGAATGTGAGAAAGCCAGAACCCAGGAATTAACCCAAGAGCAAAGGGATGCAGTGCATCACCCAGTTTTCCTCCTTCAAGGAGGCTGCTCCTTCTGTGCTGCCTTTGCTGTATGAAGTAGCTGGGAACAGTTTCCCACTCGACCTCAAGTCGTGAGGACCAGCTATTGTCCCACTAGGAACAGCTTCCTTGGGCCCAGGCCAGGAAGTACTCACCAGACTTCTAGATGCCAGCTCCGTTTCACCCTGGCTTCAGGAGGGAGCCAGAGAAGCCACTGAGCTCTGCAGAAGGCACTCCATGTCAGTCTGCAGAAAGCTTGGATCGCAGCTCCCAAGGAGAGAGGCTGCTGGCAGCCTCTCTCTCTCCTTGACTGAACAAGCCCTGGGGAATGGCTGGACTTAAAGAGCTGAGGGAGGGTTCTACCTCCCCTCTAGTCTCAAATAGGTTCACAGTTGCCTTCAGATGTCCTGACAGCAACCATGAAGCTATTGTAGACATTCCCATGGTCCCCTCTAGTGTTCCGGGTTCTCTGTGGTGGTAGGCAGAGGGTGGGAACACCAGTGTAGGTTAGGAAACATATTGGAGGGCAGTTGTGGCTACAGGAGCTTGTTGAGGGGCCATTGTCAGCATCACACTGGCCAGGTTCTCCAGCGATTCTGTGGCCAGCCCATTTGGACTCCAAGAAGTGTGTGTTGAGTCTCTTCCTGTAAAATTCTCATGTTGCTTTGAGGAGACACCCTCTGAGATCACACCACGGGGCAGGCCAGCTGTCTGTCCTGGCTCAGGGAGGGCTGAGGATAAGGCCATCCAAGGGAGAAGATATGACTTCACCTCAGAGGTAGCCACTCAAAGGCCTTGGGAGAGAGCAAGAGGTATTAACGCTTTGCCACCCAGAGATGCATCCGCCAAGGTAACTCTTGCCTCACTGGAGATGAGCTTGGCTCTTGAGTAAGCAAGCCCCTTGATGGTAGAATTTGGGATGTCTGTAGGAATTCACCAAAGCCAAGTCAGTCAGAGAGCACTCAGCTTGGAACATAGCAAGAGCAGAACTGGAGATAGGAGAAAGCTGTGTGGTAACAGAAATAGAATCTGGCCTGCCTTCCAGAGACAATCAGGCCTCAGTGGCCAAGCCTGCCCCAGGCTCTCCCCATGGGAAACATGGTGTGTCATCAGGCAAGATGCTCATCTGTATAGGAAGCTGCTTGTACACTCCGGAAAGTTTTCCACTCCCTGAGAGGGGCTGAGAGAAAGCAGCTCCCTTTCCCAAGATGTCATTCTTTCCCATAAGCCCAAATCTGAGTGGTTAATTGAATTAGAATTAGAATTAGAATTAGAATTAGAATTATGGATACTTGTCATCATGCCTGGTGAGTCCACAGAGGCTGGCCCATCTTCTGAAGTGTTCCCCGGCCTTCCCCATTCTACAAGTGAGGACCAAGCTGCCAGTTTGGGTCACCATGGAGCTTGTTATGGAACTTGCAATGCTGGAAGGGACCTCTCTGCTGCCTAAGGCCCAGGCAAAAGTACTTTTTTCTGGGTTTTCTGACCACCTTGTATCAAAGACTGATGTTTCTACAGAGGTTGAGGAAGACGCTATTTTCAAAAATCTATCTCACTTGTTTCTGGCAACTTGGTGGCCAGGATGCTGCCTGCTGTGGGCTTGCTAAATAACATGAGAGACTGGCTAAACCACATGGGGCACCGAAGTTCCTGAGATCCCAAATCTCTTCTCCATTTGGGTTTTTGGACCAGTGATACTTTTAACAGTAGGTTTGGAGGAGACTCTTTGAAATGGAACGCGAGATTTTGTAATACAGGACTTCATGATCTTTTCCCTGGAATCCACTCTAGGATCCCAGAAGACACAATACTTCCCCCTGCAGTGCTTTATCTCCACATCAAGCATAGTTCTTAGCTAGCAAGACCACATGCACAGCCAGAGCCTGGGTGGCAGAAACGTGTACTCTCTTGTTTCAACAGGCATGGAAAGAACATGGGGTCATGTTCTTTCTACCACAGGGGAGACGCGCTGAAACATGATCTTGTCAGGGTTTGCCTCACAGTCATTGATTCCTGGGGCCCTAAAGCCACGGGCATAAATAACAACGCGGCTTTGGGGGCCAGCTCAGATGGCCCAGTTGTACCAGATGTTCCGAGGAAACCAACTTCACATCATCACGATAGAGAACTCACCCATCTTGTCTCTCAGGACGACATGGCAGCATTTCACGGGGACAAAGATTTCTGTCCAAGAGAGTCTGAGTCCTGTAGGAAGAAAAGAACTGGGTGGAGGCACTGGGAAGAAAATCAGTTTATATGAGTGCTCTCAATAGCAAAGCTTCTAGCTTGCCCTTTGCATACATTTCCTATGCCTGGGCCAGAAAACAAGCATGTTCAAGTTGTTGAGGGGAAGGTATGAAGAAAGAGGCTTAAAATATAAAGCAAAAAGACATAACAAATGATTCATAGGATATGGTATTCCCTTCAGCTGACATTTAGGACCGGCTCCCTCAAAAGAGTGGGGGGAATGGGGTAGAACCTTGTAGGGGAAGAAAAATAATCCTTTCTACTCTTCATAATTCTTAACGAGGACTCCCTGTAACAAAGACACGTTAACAAGCAAAAACACAAACAGAAGTTTGATAATGTGTATATCTCATGTATATATGGGAGATAACCCAGAGAAATGAGATTTCAAAGAGAAAGTTTAAACTTTAGGTTTAAATACCATCGGTTCTCTGAAATAAAGAAATAAGAATATGGAAAAAGACCCTGTTAAGACCCGAAGACCAGGAAAAGCACCTTAGACAAAGGTAAGGTTGTTCTGCAGGTTTAAGTCATGCCTCCTCCATTAAGTGTCTGGTGATTTAGCCATCCTTCTCCTCCTGGGACAGAGAGGGAGACACTCTTACAGGTGGAGACTTCCCTTATTCATGTAACTTTCTCTTAAAATTGTAACTTTTCAGCCATATTTTTGTGGTGGCATATTTTGGTCTCCAACCACCTGAAGTCACTCACAGAGGGAAGTCGTCTTCATGGAAACCATCAAAAAGGTAGCTCTGGTACCTGCCAAGAATAGTATGTGGAGGGAGAACTTTCCCTCTGTCCTCTGAGGCTTTGATGACTGAGTCTATGAAACAAACTGGCAGTAGACAGATTAACAGTAAAAATAAGAATACAAATTTATTGTATGCATGGGGACATCACATGAAAGAAAAGTGAATATCCCCCAAAACCTGGTGAGATCTAGAAGCATATTCACTCTCTTTATATGGGAGGCTGGAGGGGGATGTAAGCAACTTAGGGAACTATAAATGAGTTTTGGTGGGAAGTAAAATCCTAAGCCCCCCACCTGACTGAATAGGCCGCCTCTCGCCAAGGGAACCAAAAAACAAACCTGAGTTCCAGGCCATGATGGGCTGGGAGGTTAGATAGGCCTTGTCATCTACCCCTTCCTTCACCCAACCCCCATTAGCCCTTCTTCCCTAAGGGTTAAACAGAAACCAGCTTCCGACAGACTCCCTTCACCAATTTCAACCAGTAACCTGACGCCGTCCCTCCCTTTTGCTGTTTTGACACAGCAACTGACCAGCATTCCTTCCCAATAGAGACCACCAATCATGAAGTGATTCTGGTCAGTCTACAGAGACTTTGCACTGACAGCCTTCCTGTCCTTTGCTTCACTTTTTGTTGTAGAGTCTAACTGAATATTAAGTCTTTACCCCAAAGTGAACATGGAATGCATGTTACATACATGTTAGCCTACTACACATGTACTCACTCCCCTTCATGAATATTCATAGCTCCTCCTACAACCTGTTGACTATGTGTATTTAGTCCTTCAGCATAAATTCCCATCTCATCCTTCTCTCCCTCAGAGCACTTGCTTTTCAGTTTCAGCTGGTAGCTCCATGTCCTGCCTGCAGGTCATGGGACCCTCCTTTCCAAATGTTCAAGCCTCGTGATTCTTCAGTTCATGCTGGGAAAGATGAGTGGGCCCTCAGAAGAAAAGGTGACAGCCTGTGACAAAGTCTGTTTTCTGGGCATGAGGTCAAACCTCAGTCTCGTCTCCTGTGTTATGAGCTGGTCTTCTTGGTTGAAGAGATTCCTGGGGAAGTCATGACAGTTGAGTTCATTTTGGAGGATTGTCTTTAGACAGATAAGGTGAGCTCAAAGCTAGCCTCTGCCTTCATCCACTGTCTCTCAAATGCCCTCAGTTCAAAGCAATCAGCACACCAAAGCATACTCTGGGGGTGGCATTTTCTGAACTCCTTCAGCAGACAGATCACAATGAGGCAACATTTGCTCAGCAGCATCATAAATTGAGAAGTTGCTGGTATAACACCCAGATCAACCATTTGCCACCCAAATTCCTGCCTGCCCAGAAGGAAGGCAGGCAGGCAGGAAGCTATTTCAAGTGGTCACTACTATCAGGGAAATAGCTTTACTCCCTGAGTCTGTTTCCTCATCTCTAAGGCTGTCATCACTACCTGAAAAGGGTTTAGCCCAGGTTTAGTCCATAGCATGCTTTCCTATGTTCTCACAACTGTTTTTATTCTATTGGGAATGGGTAGGGCTGAAGGATTCAGAAAAGCTTAAAATATGGCCCTTGAGGACATGGTCCATTTATGGACAAAATCATGTTTGTGAAGAAGTACACAAGCCAGCCTATGATGGCCAATGTAGGCACTCAGAGGATGGGAGAGAGCCTGTGAATCCCTCCACATTGTTCCTATCCCCTCTATTGATGTGGGGCTTTGGGGAAGACTTTAGACTACAAAAAAAAAAAAAAAAAAAAGACTCCAGTCTTAATTCTTTTCCAGCCCAGACTAATCCATCAGCATGTCCTGTTGACTCCTTCTTCAAAATATCTAGAATCCAACTGGTTTTCACCCTTACCTCCATACTGCCATGTCTCACACTTGGCATCTCCCTAACTCATCTCCCTGCTTATACTCTTATGGAATGGTCCATTATATAGAGGGATTTTTGGTCAAAGATAGATACCACCTTGCTCATATCAATACCTTTAAGTCGCTGGCCCATCATTCAAAATGAAATATACTCATGCATGACATAATGACATCTTGGTCAACAATGAACCACATATACAATGATGGTCCCATAAAATTATAATGGAGCTAAAAGATTCCCTTCACCTAGTGAAGTCTTGATGAACTAGCCTCGTGTAGGCCTAGACAAATATGTTTGTGTCCACATTTCCAATAAAAAGTGTTTACAAAGTAAAAAAAAAAAAATAGAAAAAAACTTATAGAAGAATGTAAGGAAAACATTGGCTGGGTGTGGGGGCTTACGCCTGTAATCCCAACACTTTGTGAGGCCAAGGCAAGAGGATTGCTTGGGCCCCATCTCTACAAAAAAAAAAAAAAAAGATAGGCATAGTGGCACACAGCTGTTGTCCTAGCTACTCAGGAGGCTGAGGCATGAGGATCACCTGAGCCCAGGATGTCAAGGCTGCAGTGAGACTAGATTGCATCACTACACTCTAGCCTGGGTGACAAAGCGAGACCTGTCTCTAAAAAACAAACGATTTTGGTACAGCTCTATGTACTTGTTTTAAACTAAGTGTTATTACAAAAAATCAAAAAGAAAACTAAAAAATTTATAAAGTAAAAAAGTTCTAGTAAGCTAAAGTTAATTACTGAAGAAAGCAAAATTTTAAATGTAGTGTAGCCTAAGTGTGTGTTGTTTATAAAGCCTACAGTAGTGTACAGTAATGTCCTAGGGCTTCAGATTCACTCACCATTCACTGACTCATCCAGAACAACTTCTAGTCCTGCAAGATCCATTCATGGTAAGTGCACTATACAAGTGTACCATTTTAATCTTTTATACTATATTTTTACTGTATCTCTTCTATGTTTAGGTGTGCTTAGATACATAAGTACTGACCAATGTGTTACAGTTGCCTACAGTATTCAGTATAGTAACATGCTATAAAAGTTTGTAGCCTAGGAATAAGAGGCTGTACCTTACAGCTGAGGTGTCTAGTAGTCTGTACCATCTAGGTTTATGTAGGTCTATGATATTCACACAAAAAAGAAATCACTTAATGATGCATTTCTCAGAACATATTCCTGTCATAATGTGACATAAAACCATACTGACACCTGAGGGGTACCAGAATATGCCACCCTAAAATATGCCCCATTGGAATAAATTATTTTCAGCTAAAAGTCATTGAGAACCAGCAGATTCAGAGAAAGCTCTAAAATCAAGTTTTTATATCATAAAGAAAATTTACATCTATAAAGGAAATTTTCCTTTGTAGAGGTGTTTCTCTCTCCAGGAATGGAAGGATTCTTAACTCTTCTCAACGGAGAAGGCATCAATTTAAATCTGTATAACAAACCTTGATAAACAATCCTTGTTTACCCTACTTTTCAGGGTCATCTTCCCATAACCTGCCTTACCTGTCTAAGAGCCTAAAGCCCTTTTTGTTGTTGCTGTTGTTGTTGGTATGAGAAATAAAACTAAAATCCTAAGCCTCCCAACTGACTGGATGGACCCCGTCTTTGCCAAGCATACCCCACAGGAAACTTAAAAACTGAGTTCCCCACCACGACCAGATGGGAGGTCAGACAGACCCCATTATACTCTTCCCTCCCTAATTGCCATTAGGCTTTCTTTCCTAAGGGCTAAACAGAAACTAGCTCTTTTATTTATTTTTAAGTAGAGATAAGGTCTCACTATGTTGCCCAGACTGCTCTTGAACTCCTGGCCTCAAGTAATCCTCCTGCCTTAGCCTCCCAAAGTGCTGGCATTACAGGTATGAGCTACCAACCTTGACCAAAGCCAGCCCTTTCAAGAGACTTGCTCCACCACTGATTTTAGCAGGACTCCTCTCCCCTTTTGCAGTTTGACACAAATACTAGCCAGTATTCCCTCCTGATAGGGGGCGACCAGCCATGAAGTGGTTGTGGCTGGTTTACAGAGGCTGTGCACAGGATGCCTCTGTGACCTCCATTTCACCCTTTGACAGAGAGCCTGATTCTAATGCATTGAAGTGTTAAGTCTCCACCCCAGAGTGAACATGGGATGTATGTAGCACGCATGTTTGCTTACTATGTGTGTATACATCCCCCTTCTGAATATTCATAGCTCCTCCAATAACCTGTTGAATATGTATACTTAGCTAACCCTTCAGCATAAATTCTCATTTCACCTTTCCTCCTTCGAAGTGCGCCCCAGCCTGAGGATGGCCAGCCTGCAGGCTGCAACCCTTTATAAGAAATAAAGCTCTC